GGGGGATGCGCTGAGTATAATAAGTGGATTCCAGATCAGTGACGCCAACTACGATGAGGCTTGGAATCTACTTAAATCGCGGTACAAAGTTATGCGCGTTATCGTAGAGGCACACCTTAGGGCAATCGCGGAGGTTAAAAGGGTCACAGACGACACCGCTGATGCTATAAGGAGAGTTTTGAATGTATTTCAACAGCACATACGGGAGCTCAAAGCACTAGGGCGTCCTGTCGATTTTTGGGACGATTGGCTGGTTCACGAGATCGTTTCCAGACTAGCGTTTGAGACCAGGAAGCAGTGGGAGCTGTCATTATTAAGCGACGAACCACCAACCTTTGAACAGCTGACTGAATTTTTGGAGGTAAGGTGCCGTTCTTTGGAGATGCTCATCACGCCAGCAAATCAAGTAGCAGAAAAACCAACTGTGTCAAAGGCGTTTGGAAAGTCAACTAAAGTTTTTCACGCTATCTCGGAACAGCCAGACACGCGTTGTATGTACTGCGATGAATCCCATAAAATTTATGCTTGCGAGAAATTCCGTGACCTAGATCGCACCGCAAAGTCGAGATTCATTCAAGAAAGCAAAGCTTGCTTTAACTGTTTGAGTCCAGGACACTACAAGGATCGCTGCAATAGTGGCTCCGCATGCCGTATATGCAACCAACGACATCATACGCTGCTCCATGGTGTGGGAACATCAACCGCTACATCCGCCCATTTTGTCGCCGAGGCTAACCGCACCGTTCCGGATACGTCATCCACAACCATCCCCATAAACGCGTCTGCTAGCACCAGTTCGCCGACGAATGCCAATGCTGTCTCATCATACTTGAGCTCTGAAGAAACCCCGCTTCCTCTAACGCAACAAACTGTGTTATTGTCCACCGCCTCTGTAAAGGTTCGCGATTGCGCCGACCGATGGCAGACGGCGCGCTTATTATTTGATTCTGGTTCACATGCCACATTCGTCACTGAGGCATGTGTACAACGCTTGGGTCTACCCCGTAAATCGTCTTCGGTAATTGTCACCGGAATAGGTTCATCGCAGGGAGGCCACTGTAAGGGTGAGGCATCACTCGTACTCTCGTCCTACTTCTCCAAAGATCGCTATCCCGTTGAAGCCTTGATTTTGCCGAAAATCACTAGCGACTTGCCGTCGCATACTCTGGACATTCCTGAATGGCCGCATATTCAGGGTTTGGTCCTAGCTGACCCGCAATTTATGAAACCCGGTCGCATCGATATCTTGGTTGGTATGGATGTTATGAGTCGTCTCATCTGTCCTGAACTTCGTAAAGGTCCACTCGGCGCACCTATGGCGCAAAAGACGGTCTTTGGTTGGACCTTGTGCGGAAGTATCAAAGCTTCACCTTCGCCACCGATCAACGTACAGTCGCTGCACTGTGATGTGCAACTCGATCGCGCGCTAACGAGGTTATGGGAGCTTGAGGAATCTCCGAAAAAACCTCATCTCACACCCGAAGAGAGCTTCTGCGAAGATCATTTCGCTTCTACGCACCAAAGATCACCTGATGGCCGCTTTCTAGTGGAGTTACCGCTGAAAGCAGACGTGCCATTGGGTGAATCTCGCGACCTTGCCGTGCGAAGTCTATTACGCATCGAACGGAGGATGACTCGGGACAATGCGTTGCAAGCGCTATACAACGAGTTCATGCAAGAACTAATAGATATGGGACATATGGAACCTGTACCCGAAGAGACGACTAATGCAGTGTATTATATGCCGCATCACCCAGTGCTGAAGGAGTCGAGCGTTACGACGAAGCTAAGGGTCGTTTTCAACGCTTCTGCCAAAACCACCTCCGGGAATTCGCTCAACGATGCCCTTTGTGTTGGGCCGCAATTGCAGCACGACCTGTACGCTATATTGTTGCGTTTCCGTATGCACCGCTTCGCTGTCACCGCCGATGTTGCGAAGATGTACCGTCAAGTATGTGTGTCACCGAAGCACATCGACTTACAACGCATCGTTTGGCGTGCACATCCATCTGCGCCAATTCAAGATTACCGCATGCTACGAGTAACTTATGGTGTGGCGGCTGCTTCTCATCTGGCCGTAAAGGCGCTGCAACAAACTGCCAAGACTTCTACGAACGATTCCGAAAAAGCTATTTCAGTTATCCTTAGAGATTTTTACATGGACGATCTTCTTACTGGTACATCTTGCAAAACCGAACTTCAGTCCCTGCAACAACATGTCTCACAGATTTTAATGGAAGGAGGCTTTGAGTTACGAAAGTGGGCATCGAACTGTAAGGAGCTCAACGAGAGTATTTCCGAATCTTCGAGGGGTATTTCGCACTACGTAGTCGATGGTAAAGACGTTCACGCGCTGGGTCTGATGTGGGACACCGACATTTGCCGTCAATTTGAAGAAAGAACCCGCAACCCTAACCAAGAGATCCCTCCTAGCCGACGCTAGTACGCTCTTTGACCCGCTGGGTTTACTCGCTCCGGTCACAATAAAGGGTAAAATGTGGTTTCAGGACGTTTGGCGTTCTGCAGTTGGGTGGGACGACCCAGTACCACCCACAATCGAAAAGGCTTGGCGAGATCATCGAGTAGAGCTACAGAACTTGAAGGAGTTGAAGGTCGATCGCTGGATTGGATCCGGAATGGCCGGCTCATTCACGGAGCTGCACGTGTTTGCTGACGCTTCCGAACGAGCTTACGCCGCTGTGGTATACGCCCGCACTTTGCAACCCGACGGTACTGTTGCTGTAAGCCTCATTTCATCGAAAACTAAGGTGGCACCGCTTAAACCCACGACTCTACCCCGCCTTGAACTTTGCGCTGCACATCTAGCCTCGAAGTTGGTCCGAAACGTGCTGCACAGTTGGGGTAATCTTCGCTACCCGCTATATGCTTGGACGGATTCAACCATCACCTTAGCCTGGCTACAAGCACATCCTAGCAAATGGATAACCTTTGTAGCTAACCGCGTTGCCGAAACCCAAGACGTTTTGCCGCCGAATAGTTGGCATCATGTAAGGTCTGAATTGAACCCAGCTGACTGCGCGTCCAGGGGTATATCGCCGTCTGATCTCCTTTGTCACAAACTTTGGTGGAACGGTCCTGAATTTTTGAAAGGTACAGACCAGTTTTGGAAGAAAGAGTCGACAAATCAACACGCAACCGACATTGGCGTTCGAAACAAAGTTGCAGCAAACGTTTCAAATTCAAACGATTACTGGCCCGTCATTACAAAATATTCGTCGTATTTAAAGCTACGTCGCGTCATTTCATTCTGCTTACGATTCGTTAGTAACATTCGAGCAACTAAGCGTCTCGTCGAAAAACGCCATGGTCCTCTAAGCGGGTTGGAGCTGGTCGAAGCGGAGCGCCGCTTAGTTAAATATACGCAAA